ATATTTAATTCATTCTATTAAATCATTATGTATACTTAAGACTGACTATTTTTAACATGTTGCCTTTCTGAGTAAGAGAAATAAGTCCTACTGTATTCAATAGAACTTAATTATAGATTAATAAGTTCTAATGATCTTCAATAGAACTTATGAAGTGGTGAATATACCAAAACGTGTTTTTTTATTTACAAACCATTTATTTTTAACGACTCATTTGATTAGTTATTTTTTATTAAGTCTAACTTCTCTAGGCGCGCTTAGAACATTTTTGTAAGTAGTGAGCAAGACTAAACTTTCGCGATATGTATGCCGTCGGATATGGAACGCTGTTCGGATAAAGTTGGCTCGAGTCAACTAGAAAAAATATTTAAAAAAATGAAAATCGGAATTTCATACTGTAGGGATGAGAAATGTTCATCATTTCATCCGCTTTCTGATGAGCTATTATTCGAAATTGTATTTTGACGTGACGCCGCACAAGCATAAAAACGGCATTCTGTAAAATGACATTAACGTAGCTAAGATCAAGCTGATATAAAAAACAACTTAATAATTTACTGATATACCGACTTTAATCAAAATTGTTACAGCCGTTTTCGAGAAAATCGTAAAAAAGTGTTCTGTCGATCATATAAAGTCCCCCTACCGGTTTGCTTATTTTGACAAAAAAATTTCTGTGACATCCAAGGCATATAAAAAACTTAAATACGTAATATCTATTACGTACGGCTTTTCGTTTTTGAGCTACGCTGTTCACACACACACACACACACACACACACACACACACACACACACACACACACACACACACACACACACACACACACACACACACATACGTTTGGCGGGACTTGGTTCTTTGGACTCTGGGGACATCAAAACGTGTATTTCCGTTACAACTTTTCAGGATTGCAATACTTCCCCTTACTATATATAACATATGTAAGTTGGTGAAAATTGAAATTAGATTTCATATTACTGATTTCGCCTTCTTGATGTTTTAACTTCTATGATGTGGGTTTTTGTTTGTATGTTTTAACACACCAAAGTTTTTTTGCATTTGTATCCAAACGAAGCTTCGAAAACACTCTCTAAGCATAATAAACTATATATTAGTTAGTACTTCATTTAAAATACATTTAGAAATATAAAAATCGAGTTGATCTTATAAAAATGATGGATATAATAATGATGGAAATCACTGCTTTGAAATATCTCAGATTTAAGCGATTTGTTCTCAAAATTCTTTCTCTTACCACCAACATTATAAATGAACTGTCATTGGAAACACAGCAAAGATACTCATAAAATGCCATTTGAATCGATTATATGGTAAAAGAGATAATATAATATGGGAAATTCATGAATCGAAAGGATTCCAAAAGATTTTTTATTATTAATTTGTTGTAGATAGATGTAATTATTACCTGTTGGTTATGAATAAGTATAAAGAGGTGAATTAATAAAATTACAGATGTAAAATATTTCCATTTTAAATTGGAATAAATTTAGATTTTATAATTAAATCCATTTATTTTTTTATTTGATCATTGAACACCAAATATTAACTGCAACTGTATACTTTATATTTATGAAAGCTATCATTATATAGTTTGTGATTGGATAATGACAGTTTGGCGGCTATGATATATCTGTTGAATTGATGTCTCTACCACCCACGCAGTTTCATGCTGCTCGTAATTAATCCTGTACGCACAACCATGTCCTTAATTGAACTATTAACATAGTCATTATTGTTTCTGAACGATTATTATATCGTTTCAAATCATTGGTAACGTTTGAAAAATTATAATTATTAATAAACTGTTTGTTTTAAATTTTATAAATATTCAATGACACATTTATTTTTCATTTTTAGAAAATAGAAAATCGGAAACTATCTGAAAATTAGTAATAGCACATCAGTAGAATAATTAATACGTTTCTCTTACCATAATGAACCAATCATTAACACGGCATCAAAACAAAATATATCTAAGAGCAATTCGTACTCAATTGAAATCCAGAAGGTAAGGAGCTTGTCGAGAGTGTTTTTGTGGTGATAACAGAAGGCCTCGACAGAATGTGTTCAAATTTAGACTCTACAGAGAGTGGTCTAAACAGAATGACCGGTAGTTCTTAGCTCTCAAACAACTACCGGTCAGCGAGCTAAGAAATGAACCTTAGGATTTAGGAGGCCGGTAAATACAAATAGAGGCATGAACCTCATTTCTAGCCATTATTTATTTATTTTTTTGGATCCTCCCATTCCTCGCCGTTAAGGCTATACGGTTTTTTTTTCCGGGCCAGGGGGTGTAGGCGGGGATTTAAAAGACGCCTTGGCACCGGGACGCGAACTCATGACTATTTTTGTATCATTACATCATATATTAGGTTGCCGGGCAACGGTGGTGCTGTGCACAACGCGTTAGTCCATTCGGCCACCCCGCCTACAGCGTGTCGGCGCTTGCCATTGTCGTATTAAAACAATCTAACCCAGATAAAATTCCAATGATAACGGAAAATTGTTCCCACGAGGATGAAGAGGAATGACTCTTTCCAATGTTGTAGTCAAAATATGAGGAATATTCAAAAGAAATAAAATAAAATTTTATTTATTTGCGTGAGTTAACTTTTCGTGTTAAATCTTCGTTGAACTTCCTCTAGATACATTTAATCGCTAAATTTAATTTCCGAAGAGCAGTTTTTCATAGAGAATCATTAATCTTAAGTTAAATCGAATTGAAATTATAGAATCTGAAAGGTGAATGAGTGATTAAGTAACTTACTACAAGTTACAAGAATATAACTTTCTATTGTAACATAATGGTTCTATCATCCTTATTGCATGGATGAGTGTTTAAAGACCTCGGGAAAAGACTAACTTGGAACCCACATACTAGACTTAAAAGGCAAGAACTTAACCGACGATTTGGCCAGCTATACAGACTACTTAACAGAAAATCCAATCTATCAATAGAAAACAAACTATTAATATACAAGATCATACTCAAACCCATCTGGACCTACGAACTTGAACTGTGGGGGACAACTAAATTTTCGAACATCAAACGCATCCAATCCTTTCAGTCTAACGTCCTCCGTATGATAGTCAATGCTCCTTATTACGTTATAAACAAAACCCTACATCATGACCTTTACATCCCTTATATCCTTGACGTTATTCCATCCGGATTCTCAAATTTTCACATGAACCTAATCCACCATCCTAGCCCTTTAGTACAATCCTTATCTAGCTCCAGTCATCCCTACAACCCTCCTCGAAGGTTGAAACGGCAGTGGCCTCGAGATCTCTTGTAAAGACGTCACTGGAGTTCTGGCAATGGCCAGCTTCTCCACTCAAGTCATAAGTGTTTGTGGTTTTAGTGCCCTCTCTCAGACTCCACCGGACTGGTAATGCCGGCGACGCGGTTGAGAGAGAAGCGCTGGGATCTCTTAGAGTCTCGCTTTGTCCTTCATACGTGGGGGAAAGGGCTGGACTCGGAGATCTCTTACCTAATTGTAAACATTGTATTTAAGTATGAATGTTTTTCTATTTATTTCTATTACTTATAATTTATTTAATTTCTTTACGAATTTCTGTATTTCATTTAATTTTATCTCTAAGTTACATTTCCTTGGTTTATTGTAGTTTTTGCCTTTGTTATATAGATTTTTTAATTTTTTAATTTATTTTTTCTTATTATTATTATTTTTTTTATTTTTTTTTTAATGCATTGTATATATGGTATGAATGTGCCTCACTCAGCCTTAGTACTCAGTGCCTTTAAGTGTGGCAAAATGTATTATTACTCAATAACAAAAATGACCTCGGGGGTGACGTCCAGGGACTTCCATAGAGAGAATAAGCTTGAAAGGTCTAACATAAGTAAGCAGTGAAAGAGTAAACATGGAATAGTAATTCTTGTGAACCTTTATAAGTCTATTTTAAGCAAGCAATAAGTTCCAAAACTATGCGGGGAACATTTCTGTGAACCGTTCACAATCATCTGAATTGTTTGGCTAATAATGAAGGTCGCCAGCTATCTCGACAATGTGGATGGGCATCCAGTCATCGTATTCGGATAATCCAGAAATACATCTAAATTTGTGGCGGAGCGATATAATAGACGGAGCTCTGATTCTGTCCCAGTGACAGACACACTGAAATCACAGTGACAGTCATTGTAGGCGTTTCAGAATCACAGCGCTACATCAAATTATATAGAACATATTTAAAAAAATTAAATAAAATTTTTAACATAATAAAAATATAAAATAAACGAAATGAACTAATAATTTTATTCCGTGACTACAGTCCCCTAAGAATAATAACAGATATACATTATTTTGTACATTAGTCTGGCTTATAGTATACAAAATGATGTAAAATTAACTATTATTTGAAATTTATTGCATACAGTTGATTGAAATGTATAGTGTACAGAAGCTAAAATAAAAAAAAAAATGTATTTCTCATCGGTAAATTGCACCGGTCTAAACGTTTAGCGTTGCCTGGTAGCGGACGGGTGAACTACTGGGTCAGTCACGAGACTACTGCGAAGTTAATGTTCTTTCAATTCAAAAAATAAATTAAGCTTATTACAAATATAAAATAACATGTGGCAAAGGGGTATTCGGCTTAATACCAGCAGTCACTAACTGAATGATATATATTACCCAAAAATAGATTAATTGAAGTCTGCAATGGTAACAGTACAGCCGTAAACTTCATGTAACATACATCAATATCTAATACATCTCTTAGTATGTATCACTTTTTGATGTGAAAATGGTACGTAATTGAATGAATACAAGCACTACCGTGCCAAACAAGCGTGACAGACAGCTATTATCAAGCGTACGAAATGTCACCCAATACCGAGCAATTTAGTTGGAGTATTAAATCATTTTAAATCATTCGTTGACCTTTCAATATTTTTAATAGTAAAAACCTCATGTTAATAATAAATTTAAATTGAACATGGACTTGATTCTTCAAAAGTACTTACAGTTCATGTCAATCTGGACGGTGGACGTAAGGGGGATAGTCTTGTTGTTGTTGGAGGCTATGCAAGTCAGTTCAGACCGGAGATCTGCTCTACCCAAGTTGTTGATGACCAGTAAGGACATGGTGTGAGGTACTCCAATGTTTCCAGGCGAGGAATAGTTGGTCAGGAGCTCTTCTCCTCTGTACCAGGCGACTGTGGGTCGAGGTTTACCTGGAACAAATAGGAAAAGACATAAAGATAGCTTTCATTGTTGCCATTGCTTTATTGGGCACTCAATTGGTAGTTGCAAATCAATAATGGAAATAAATGTTCATGTGACAAAGAGCTATCGAACTGTAAAAAAAAAAAAAAAATTGTCGGCTTCTTGGCTCTTGTAAATGTAAAAGACTAAATTCATGGAGAACATTTTTTTTTTTTAATATTTTGCTGGAAAAGATTTTAAATTTATTTTACCGACATACTAATATATGCCTATTTTTAGAGAACTTTGGTCATAAAGGCGTAAGATAGACTTGTAACATAAATGCACATACCTAAGTTTTCTCATAAACCAAAAGTTATTAGTTTATTCAATAATATCAAACCATAAAGCTGGCAAACAAACAAAAATCGTTGATACTAAATTAAACCATTTATCAATGGAGTTATTATTCAATAATTATACAAATAAACGGATAGTAACAATGTTTAAGTCAGGAATTTATAAGATCCTTTTAAAAATACAGTGCAAATTAAATAAATACATTACTAGCAAGAAGAAGAAAATATAATATAACAAAAATTAAAATGTAGTTGGAGTAATGTTTTCATATGTTAGTGGTATTAATGCACTTATTGTAAAAGCTTAATATGGTATCCTTGCTAAGCAGTCAGCACAGATTTTGAACGAATAGTAAATAACCTGTCTGTGCTAATGTGCTAAAGTGTTATTAGTTTTAGTAATTGATTTATTATCGTTTCGATTTATTTTATAAATGCCAAAGCGATGTGAAAAAACTAATTTGCTGAATTATTTTATTACAAATGCTTTATCAGAAAGTATGAATTAAAATTCAAATGATTCAGAAGCAAATAGTCTGATGAATGATATGCAATCAAAGCTGTCTTTACATATCATTTCTGTGGATATTTTACACATACAAAAAACAAAGAATCAAACGCTTAAAACCCTCACAATAACCTTCTCCATGGATTTATGAAGTTGGCAACATTTTACAGGATCCTAGGCTGTGTTAAAATCGAGAGTGCTAGAGGCCATATTTAATACACACTTTGTAAATAATTCTCTCGACTTTACACATTTAAGAGGTTTACAACATATAGTACTGATTGCATGAATACCCCCTGATGTGTTTGATAATGTTCATCGATATCAAATAGTTTATTGTATTAATTTATATTTTTTAATATATTAAATATAATTAATAATATTATTAATATTTAATTAATATAAATTATTAATAATAATATTATTAATATTTAATTAATATAAAAATATTAATAATATAATTTTTAAAATATCATCAACAAAAGTACCGTAAATTCTTTTCATTTAAAATAATTGACCATTTCATATTTTTAGTATTAAAAATAATAAGTAAATATAAACTATAAATCAAATTGTTAAACGAATAATAAATTATATAATTATACAATTGTTAAAGAAAGCGAAATTGTTTTAAATTTAAAGTATTTGGGTAGTAATTTTCGTCAACTTTGTTATTAATTATAAATTAGATTGATTTCAAAATTGACAAATGAGGCAGGTTTAAAAGGTTAATTATATACCGAAATTCTGATTATAATCAATTTCTTACCCTAGTTTATAACATTGGCAAGCCAATTTACATTTAGGTCAATTATTCAATCTCCATTATTATTGGAGTAATAACCAATCTCATTGATTGCAACAGGTCCTACTGAAGGACAGGGGATGCAATTCAATATGAGGGTGGCTGAAATTGATATCATTTCAAGTATCCGAGACTATCAGATATCTCCATCACATACTCCATCGCTTTGGGGAAACTCTCTCAGTAGACTGGGTCATATTATTTACCTCACTGATTCTCATGTTATTAGTCCAATGCTTCAATCTTGATCAATATACTTAAACAAATAATGATTATATTAACAGGCAAAGACGAAACAGTTCAGTTCATTTACTTCTTCTAACCCTTACAAAACTTGATCCAGTCCGCCATGCAGGAATCCGGATTGCAATCGGTACGTTAAGATCTAGCCTCACCCTGTTCGGAAGAAGGTTTACCTCCCCTAGTATTTATCTTTTTTTTTAAGCTTATTTATTGAAAAATATTACAATCTGTCTCAAGGACATTTATAATAATGTTCATAGATCACATTCACACTCTATGTACAGTAAATAAAATAAATCATACAAAAAAAAATATATATACAATAAATAAGAATAAAATAAATGAATAAAAAGAACACATATATACCTATATACAATATTTACAATCTGGCGAGAGAACTCCAAACCAGACTTGTCCCTCCAATTGTGGAGGGAAAAGCATGACTCCAGGAGATCTTTGCACTTCTCTCTCAACCGCGTCACTGGGGCTAAACCCAGTGGAGATTGAGCAAGAATGCTTAAGCCACATACACTCATGTCCTGAGTGGAGAATCTGGCCATTGTCAGAACTCCAATATTTATAAACTATAAAAGGTTGCGGGGCCACTGCCGTTTCAATCTCCTTGGAGGATTATACGGATTGGTGATGCTGGATAGAGATTGTGCAAAGGGATTTGGATGATGGGTAAGGTTCTGGTGGAATTTGGAGAATTTTGATGGGATAAGGTCTAGGACAAATGGGATATTAAGGTCATGGTGTAGGGTTTTGTTGGTTACATAGAAAGGAGCATCTACTATTGTTCGAAGGACTTTGGATTGGAAAGATTGGATGCGTTTGATGTTAGAACATTTTGCTGTTCCCCACAGTTCAAGTCCGTAAGTCCAGATATGTTTCAGTATTGTCTTGCAGATCAGTAACTTGTTTTAAAACCAAGTATTTATAAGACCAAAACTCGCTTTTAATTAATTTTCCAAATTATTTGTACAGGCAGACCATCCGACCTATAAATCCATTTTTCAACCAAAATTGTCAACAACTTTCCGACAGAAACCAAACTCAATCCAACCTTTGTTAGAAAGATTTTATGGATTTTATGAACTTTTTTCAACACTTCAGAAGACTCCATTACTAAAACGGGAAACACAGAATTCACCGTGGAACTCAAAACAATATTAAACCTCCCCCATATTCCTAAAACTGATACCACCTCTTCTGAATATAAAAAAAAGAAAATATCTCGGCTCCTTGGAAACATTCCGGAACATTTTTTAATTTATACCGATGGATCAAGTCAGAAAACTCAAAGGCTTGTTTTTTTGTTACTTGTGATTTAACACGTTTTTTTTATACTTATAAAATAATTAACATTTAAATGTTGACATTTATATTTAAAAAACAAAAAAAAGCTAAGAAATTTTTAAGTCAATTTCATCATTTTGATAAAGAATTATAAAAATATAGCAACTGTAGAATATTCGTCGACATTATACCCTTAAATCTTTGGTATTTAAGAAAAGAAGACAAATCTAATAGTATAAAAATATTTGAACTTTAGGCCGAAAAAAAAATTACTCCAAAGGCGTCATTTTACGAACTTCTTCTGTTTAAAAGCTAAATACGATTTTTTTTTTCTTAACCCCATATGATGTGGTGTTGAGAAATGAGATGTAGTACGAGGCTTAAACAAGACCTCTTGTACTGCAAAGAGTGCTTTTTAAGAAGATGATGAGGAATTGGAAGTACTGTATTAATAGTTATCGTGTGTCTTAGTGTAGTGATGGGATTCACTAGTGTCCTTTAAATGTCAATTCTCTAGCAATAGGTTTTTCATGTATGTCTGCCATCTCATTGGTTTATGAGTAAGTGGAGTAAATGTTTTAAAATGTGGGTTTGTCGAGTATTAAATGATATAAAAAAATTGATATGCCTGGCTGTAATACAGCCGTCCACTTTCGGTAATTCGAACGTATATGTGCTCGTAGTAGGTCTGTAACATCTAGGTACACTATACTGCTCGCCGGTCTGTTCTCGCTACCCGCTACCTTATAGACCTTAGGGAGAGGGCGCTTATTCTTTTGAAAGGAGAATATAATGCAATCTGTCTTCTTTTGGTTGACTCTAATATTTAGCACTTTCAGTTTGTCTTTGATTTTTTCACAGGCCTCCTCCACCTGCCTAACTAAGAATAAAATAAGAAGGAATTCGACGATAAGAAAATAGTAAACTTGACAGATTTTGTGTATGATAAGAAGCTTTTTAAGTGGCATACTTATTTCTGTAGAACAAATCCGATAACTAGGACTTCAGCTGGACAAACTTTTCACTTGGAATCCTCATACCAGACTGAAACGACAAGAAACTGCTCGACGATTCCGCTTACTCCAACACTTACTGGACAAACGCTCTAAACATTCAATTAATTACAAACGGCTCATATACAGGACTATAATAAGACCTATTTGGAATTAAGGAGTTAAGCTATGAGGCTCCACTAAACCATCAAATTCCTCTCGTATCCAATCTTTACAATCCAAAATCTTTCGTAAAATCCTCAATGCTCCTTACTTTGTCACAAATAAGATAATCCATAAAGACCTCAATGTTATTATTTATTTAAATCTCTGCCCTGCCAGTTTGGCAATACGAGTGTTTGCAGTATTGGATAGCTAGACGTGTGTGCATAACTAGCCAATACTGCAATCGATACAATAAGATTTTCTGTTTAGCTTGGCTCTTCCATCCTCTGTGGTGGAGCTTCTTCTCTTCTACCCAAATAGAAGTGGGCTGGGCCAATGATATCTTTCCACCCGTACACAAAGGCCTTGTAGTGCGGGTAGTTCTCTCTGGTCACTAGCTGAGGTAGATCGCGCTCTGATAAGACATAGAGCCCAGTCTCCCTCAGCAACTTAGCCCTCAATGCCTCATAGGCGGTACAGGCTAATAAGACGTGCTCGGCGGTCTCCGGTACCCTACAACTTGGGCATAGGGGATCAATGTTCTTACCGTGTTGAACAAGCTTTGCTCGGAATCCTCCATGCCCCGTGAGGAATTGCGAGATCCAATAGTCCGGGAGGAGCCATGTAGTTTCCATTCTTGAACCGACGGTGGGGAAGTATTTCCTTAGGGTTGATCCTTTTGGCGTTGTCACCCAACGCCGGTTCCATTCTTCTAATGTGCATTCCCGGAGAATCCTCTTCCATCTGCTTGGGTCTTCACTGATCCTCACTCGGAGATTAGCCGGTAGATCCACCAAGCCATCTCTCTTCATTTCGTGCCGAAAGTAGTCTTCACGAAGTTGAAGATCAATTGGAATACTTCCGGCTAAGACTTGTACCGCCTCATGAGATACTGACCGGTACGCCCTAGTGACACGCAGCAGAGCCATACGCTGGATCGTCGCCAACCTTTTCTTCTGTTGGTGCGAGAGAGTCTGACTCCACGCAGGGGACGCATATCTCAGGATACCCAAGATAACTCCGTTATAAATAGCCAAAGTGGCTGGGTATCTGAGACCCCAAAAGGCGCCCCCGATGCGACTCAGTCCATTAAGAGCCAGGGCCACTCTACTTCTCAGATAGTCCAAGTGAGGGGTGAAGTTAAACTTTCTTCCAGTCCTTATCCCAAGATAGGTGACCGCCTCACTTGGACGTATCGTTTCTCTCTGTATATTCAGAGTGATAGGGTGGGCCCTGTCAGTCTTACCCCTCAAAAGAACGGACTGAGTCTTTGAAGCCGCCATCTTCATCTTCTTTCTCTCGCACCATTCTCCTACAAGGTTGGCGCACCGTTCAGCCTCTTCCTTTAATCTGGCTCTGCTGTTCGATGCCACCACGACTGCGAGATCGTCTACGTAAGCAGTGGCGGGGAACCGCTGCTCTTCCAGTACTCCCAGCAGCTCGTCAAATACCAGTTTCCACAAGGCTGGACCTAGTACAGATCCTTGTGGGCATCCTCTTTCTACAGAATCCTCTACAGCAAAGAAGTTACCTTTTATCATTAATTTGCGGTCTTCTAGATAGCTTCTTAAGAGGTCGTACAGGTTGCTGGGAGCTTCATACTTTTGCAACTGCTGGAGTACACTCGGCCACCAAACGCTATCGAAGGCGGAGGATATATCAAACCGGAGAAGCATTACATACTTCTCCGCCTTCTCTTCAACGTCACGGCGCACCCTGAGCAGAGCATCTGCGGTTCCCCTACCTTTAGTACATCCGTACTGTCGTGGATGGCTAGCCCTTAAGAAGACTGGTCGTAGACTCCTCATCAGCAAGGTCTCCAACAATTTACTCATTATAGGAAGGAGACATATAGGCCTATATGACTTCGCTAACTGCTTGTCCTTATCTCCTCCCTTATAAAGGAGTCTAACATCAGCAATCTTCCATATTTTAGGGAAGTAACCCCTGTCTAGGCAATCATTGAACAATGCTAACAGCCTTTGTTCAATGTAGGGGATACTATTCCTTAGTATTGCTGTGTCTATCGAATCCAAGCCAGGAGCTCGACCAGTCCTTTGCCTATCCACGGCAGCACGGAGATCCCATATGTCCCATGGTGGGCATAGGTCCGTACCTGGTGGGCATACCGTAGTGCGTCTAATGTATCTCTCCTCTTCATTATCTTGGGACGGATCATCCCTGGGGTAGGTTTCCGCAATGAACGTTTTTGCCGTCTCCTCCAGAGTGGTTGCCTGAGTAGCTCCGCGTTTCAATGCGGCTATTACCTGTTGTGGATTTAACTTACCCAAGGCAACTCTGTAAGGGATACCCCAGGGGTTCTTGGACGATTCTTCAATAATGAACTCGTCCCAAGACTTCCTTTTTCGAGAGCGCACTTCGTTTCGGTATGCTCTGGACTTGGACCTATACTCGTCGCGAAGTGTGGTGCGCCTCTCCTCACTACCACACTTTTGATAGGAC